GGGGGGGGCGCCCAGCCCACTAGAAAACGCGTGCAGGGAGCTAACACAATAAGTTCTCATTCTGTACTAATCACGTTTCATGAATTCGTTATTGTACTTCATTTGTATTTACAACACATTATTTGCGTGACTATGCCTTCCATCGTTTTGTTAATTACGAGGGGAATTAACTCACGCTTCGGCAAATTGCATCATTGCAATTTTCGCCTGAAGCTGGCTTGAAACAAGGGTCACCTTATTGGGTGAGCAGTCACTTTAAATCGCGTGATTGCCCCGTAACACCACAAATAAAATTTAATATTACATAGGATAATACAATTTTGCTTCACTTTTATGCTCAGATCTTCAGTATAATCACATGTTCTGCAGTTGTTTGCAGAATATAAAAATTTGCATGAATGGTCCGAAACACGTAATAAGCAGTTGAGTAATAGGATTATGGATAATGATGTTAAATGTTCTATTTTGACCATGCCACGTCATGTTTAGGAATTAAATGTGTTCTTTGATATCTTCCAAATAAACAGTGTATCATTAAAATCTAGGTCTCATCCAAAGGTGACTATTCCTTGAAAGTTATTTTCTAATTTAGCAGTTTGTGCTATTTATCAATTATTTATCGTTTATAATGTCATTAGTCTTGTTCTGAAGGAAGCTGACAGTGTGAGTGTAAGACAGAAACCTAGACGTATTGACAAAATGTCTTCCAGCTAAAAAGGCGGAGACATCTCGTCAGACATTTTGTTGGTGAAGAGGGCAAGTGGTACAAGAGGCCTTCCCCTAAGATCCTACGAGGGTACAAGACCTGGGTTCTTGGATACAAGAGGCTATATAGTAAAGGGGGGTTAATATATTGTGACGTCATGGATACTCACAGCGACCACAGACACAGAGCTTTCGTATAACAAATATATTTATTAACAAGAAAACAAAACAAATATATACACTTAATAATCTACTTACACCCTAGCTCTGATAGACCTACTATCCCCTGATCGCGGGAGCGATCCAAAACCCGATTGAAGATGGTTTTGATTGTGGCATTCGCCACTCCTACTTTTGAAGCGCGCACAAAGCCTAGCTTCCGTGACCGGATGTCACGCTGGGACACAAAGTCCGTTCTGGCGCACCAACGGCTGGTTTGCCTCGATCGCAGGAGCGATCTTATCCGATTGAGAATCGGCGTGAATCGTGGCACTCAACCACTCTTCACCTCGGAGCACGCACACAGCATCGCTCCCCCGTGACCGCAGTCACCCAAGGACATAAAGTCCGCAGGCTTCGTCAACTAATGACTCCAGCCTCGCGAGCCTGGCTCGCATATGCACCGTCGTGGCGCCAAGTTTTGTGCACACGCACGAGGTTCTCCCACTGTCTCCAGAACCTGCCTACTGGCTCCGTACACTCTGTTATATAGGCGAGGCCCACGTGACCTCCTACGTCACGCCACCCCCTCGCTTGTTATAACAGTGAAAAGCTTCTATAAGCCGGAAGACACCCAAAGCCTTGTGTCTCCCCTCTCCGCGTTCTTCCCTTTACGGAAAAACCCTTCTTCCTGTGGCGAGACTAATCCGCAACCAAGCGTCCCCAAATAGATGCCATGAGGCACGCTGGCTAATACGTTACAATATCCCTTGAAGAAGACAACTAGGCGCCGGCCGGGATCGAGCCCTTCGATATGGGAATGCAGCCGTCGCCATGTAATAGCCTCTCACCGGGTAGACCCCGCGGGTAGAATTAAATGATTGAGAAGAAAATATAATAATATAATAAATAAGCATGGCAAAGTATATAAGCTAATGATGATGGAATATTCAGTTTTTGGTTATGATGAATTCTCTAATCCAAACCCTTGCAATTTTTTTTAGATCAGGTAGAGACAGGAAATAGACGCGGGAATCTATTGATAAGACAATCGCCGCAATTCCAAATGATTTTCTTCAAAGAGTAAACCAAATCGAAGTGCCAAGAATGAATTCGAGCCGGTAGACACTATTTTCAGCGACCTCTCCACAAAAAGTTTAGCGCGGGGAAGTGAACTGCATCTTAGCCCGGACGCTAAGTCAGCGCTTTACCGGGCGACGCTTTTCGTCTTTTTGCGGCAACAGACTATTTGCCCGCGCTGTGTAAGCAGTCAGTGGTTCAGAATAGTGGTCTTCATTACGGTACCTGTGTCGGCACATGTGCTGGTTCTCACCAGGTGCAGTTTGGTGCGTAGCGGGCTACTTTAAATCGTCTTTCCAATTACTATAACCTATCTTTCGTTCTACATGCACAACTTTGAAATTACAAGTTCTGTAGTGTTTAATATACCACCTTACAAAATAAATGAAAGTTAAAATTAGTGGCCAGAAAATCAGACAAAATAGTTATGTTATGAATATATGGCACTTGGAATCTAATAAAATAATTGTTGATCACGGCAGTCATGAACTTTGTGAGAGTTATAGAATTAGTGCAAAGAATATTTATGCTTAAAAACTTTTTTTATGCGGCAGCAATATAATACAGACTTAACGAAGGCAACGGTTTCTAAATACTGAGGTATTATGTACTTATGAAGTAAATGTGGAATAAAAAGTTTCTTGAGTGACACGGTCACTGGCGTTAAGTAATGTTTTATACGTTTAAATAGAAAGGAATTAAATTTTGCGCGCGGAGTCCCGCGTATGTCTCGTTGAAGTTGAAGTTTGAAATGATTGAGGGCATCAGTTGATATCGCAACAGTGCCTCTGACTGGCAGGTTTTAGAGTTTGAAACCAGACTGTTGCAGGCTTTTCGTCCCTTTTATTTGTTCAACTTGAGGGAACGAATGGATGTAAACACTGCCACGTGGGTAGGTAGTCGTTGATTGGCTGCGAGTCCGCGACACATATTCTTCCTCAGATTTTTTAAGTACACGCGTAATAAAATCGTTCCGTACTATTCACTTAAATGTTCGTTAAATACAGTAGTGAATCAGATGTAAGCGTCTCAAATAAATACAAATTTATATTACATGTTACGTGTCACATATATTATACGTGTTACTTTAAAGGAAAGGTGTAAACGAAGATACATACCAAGCGAAGTAGTAGTTTGGATGAAATGGCGAACCTCGTAACACGCGTCGTATTGTAGCGTCGTGATTCTATTTGAGTTAATAAGCGTAAAAGAAACTCGCATTACAGCATCAAGATCATTAAGGTGATTAAAATTTTGGGTAAGTGATTGTGTACGTGACCGGTCTATTCAGTGTATTCTTGGTATTGCATATTTGATTAAAGTACCGTGACAATCATCATCACCGTCAGTCTGAAATTGTAAAACATTCGCGAGAAAACCCCATACGGCATAGAGAAACAACTGTTGTTTTCAAGTTATTTTAAAAGAATTCAATTCATTACGCAAGAAGTAACAACAACAAGAAACGAATAAATTTCATGCTAAATTAATGATCGATTACTACAATGATGTACCAATATTGGGTTTACACGTAATAAATATCACTGTGTCATATGCTCTCATTTTGTGTTCAAAAGTTTTATTTTACCGACAATAATGTTTATAACAAGCGAGACTTAATGCAGTTACATATTTTTAGTGATTGCGCACATCGAAAGGAAATGCACATAACTTTACCTGTCACCTAAAATAAAACAAATCTAGCCCATTTTTATTTTGAATGTTTGCATACTTCTGAAAATTTTAAAACTTTTTATTTTAATGTATGCGGCATATTTAAATGCATATATTACACGTTTGTGTGTAGAAGTAAGTCGAAGTCGGATATTTTCGCGTATTTCTCTTTGAAACGAACGGTGCAACCAAACGCGTTACAGAGTAGTGAGTTGATAGATTTATTACTTCTGCACACAACCTGGAGACAGAACACTACAATTTACATCTTACAACTAAGAATAGTAATACACTGTAATTTTAAAGCATTTTAAGACAATAATAACAATAACAGCATTATCTCTATACTTTGACTCTCCTGTACGGAATTTTTAATTAATAAATATTTCTTCACTTCACTTCACTTCAACTTGCGCTTGCGCTTGCACTACACGCCACGTCCCTTCACTTCATTTGCAATTCACTGCTTTACTTGCACTTGCACTTCACTTGCACTTCACTTGCACTTCACTTGCTTTTCACTTGCACTTCACTTGCTCTTCACTTGCTCTTCACTTGCACTTCACTTGCACTTCACTTGCACTTCACTTGCACTTCACTTGCACTGCACTTGCACTGCACTTACACTTGCACTTACACTTGCACTTACACTTGCACTTACACTTGCACTTACACTTGCACTTACACTTCACTTGCACTTCACTTGCACTTGCAGTTGCACTTGCACTTGCACTTGCACTTGCACTTGCACTTGCACTTGCACTTGCACTTGCACTTCACTTGCACTTGCACGGTGTGGATGCAAAGTGTGGATGAATCCGAGATCGCCAACAGCTTGCGGTGACAGCGGAGCGTTGAAAGCTCTTAAGATGACAATTCAGTGGCCCCGGACCAAGCTCTCAGCGGGAGGACACATTCTGGTTTGTTTATATCTGTTTGATTTTCTTGTTGAGCAGCCTGTAGCTAAATAGCTAGACCGATGTTTGGAGGACAGTCTTAGCGACCGACAGCTCTGATTGGTAGTCATCCATAAATTCCAGGAGAATGAAGGGACCTACCCTAACAATCGTTCCTTCCTCTTTTATGCCGTAATCTCACCCCTTGCACTCGCATGAACTATCCTACTACATATGTTGGAAGGTCTTAGGGAGATTAGAGCTTGTCCCGGCTGGGGCGGTTCCCCGATGGTAGATGAAACTTAAATGGGGAAACTCTGCAAGCCTACGTGTAGGTCGGCACCGTATCTAACCATCAACCGGGAGAGCTCGGCACCTTCCGAGATAAAAGTATCTAAGAGACGAATGGCCGTCGCCGTTGCCGCGCCCGCTCCGAGCCCAACTCGGAGGTCTTCACGAGCATGCGACAGCTCGGCAGGCGCTCACCTGCTCCGCCGACTGCTCCTCGATGACCAGCTTCATCTCGAGCGACTGGCGCGTCTGCAGGAAGGCGCGGCGCTGCTGGCGGTCCGCCACGTAGAACGCCATCAGCCCCAGCAGGTTGGTCGCCAGCAGCATGACGGCCGACGCCGCGAGCTGTAACACGCACGCGCCGCGCGGACATCACTTAAATGGAATTGACGCCTTTTTGTTCGTGGCGAGACTCGGGCCTGCTCTTTCAACTGACGACGCGAATTGCACCAACTATTTGAATTTAGCTCAGAGGCTTGAGGATCTAAATCTACTAACATGGGACAGACGGCTGCCTCCGAAAGAAGGCATATGAAGGATTTCTTCGCCCTTAAGAATGCCCCACGAATTCGATCGGGTTTGAACCAGCGAACGTGGGTATAACTGTGCGATACGCCAGCCGTTCCACCATCGCCGCCGCCAAACTTCAGAGGTCACCGTCGTGGGAAGGAGCTGTCAATGGAGGAGGTCCTGGCTTGTCACCACTTCCCGAAGGGGAACTGTATTGAGTGAAGCGTGGTCATTCAGGGCCTTTTTTGAAGAGGTCATTTACCGAGGGGGTCAATTAGGAGAATGCATCCATTTATCGAATGGGTCCATTTGTCCGCCCTGGCTTGCAAGATAAGAAGGGCCGGGGAGACGGATTATGCGAGTTGAGTGACACATGAGCAATGGAGGGGAGTGGCGGAGGTTTAGGCAGGTCTGCCGTGGCATGCAAGAGAAGACGGTCCTGGTGACCAGAAGGAAGTGATGCAGCAGAGGGGGACAGGGCAGCCGTAGCAGCGCGTGGGCGAGAGGGACGTACAGAACGCGGGTTACGGCAGCTGGAATACGAACGAGTGAGGCCGCTTGAGAGACGATTGTGAGAAATAAATATCCTGGCAACCCAAGGTACTCAGCTTTTACAAAATAAATGCATTAATATTAGTCCTTATTCTAGATGACTGCTGCTCTGATCGGCCGTTATGAGTTGTAGTTGTAATTCGATTTAATCATATTATTGCTATTTAATTAAAATTATTTAAAGCGCATAACTAATATTTTTGCAATATTGCAAGTTTGTAATATTGAAACATTTACGAATTTGTAATTAAGTATTCTGAGGGATAAAAACGATGATTGGAATTGTCTCTCTGTGTCTCAAGTTGCATGGACATTGGAATTGTCTCTGTGTCTCAAGTTGCTCCAAAGAGCAATTGCGTTGCGTCTTGTAGTGTGTTCCAACATCCTTCTGACTTCTATTTTAATTTTTTAATTAGTGTAGTAATTTTGCTGTTTTTTACACATGCAATGCATCTTGGTGTGGCTCTATTTCATGATGCAATATATGTTATAGTATGCGGGGAAATTACTTTTTTTGAATGTGTGTCTGGAAACTAGTGGGGTGGTGTTGGAAGAGCGTTTAAAATGCTCGAAAAAGAACAAATAAATTCACCTAACTTATTTTCTATTGACGTTTCTACTATGAGAACAAATGGGTATTTTTGGTACTCACGGCTTTTCTATTGTGAGGACTTTTATTAAATCATAGATACCTGATTTTATACGCGTGAGATATTATTTTTAATTTTATTTATGCAATTTAAATTATCACAAGCCGAACTTTAAAGTATGAATGACATTGCTATCAATTATAGAACAATTAAAAAAGTATAAAGTACGATATAGTTTCGAAAGATCATTTGCAATGAAATAGAAATAATACATTGTCAGGAATGTAAAAACATTTTAGGGCACACTCATTTCAGTTACAATTTTTTAGTCGGTTATGAAAAGTTTCATCTTCAAATTGGGAAGTAGTTTTACGACACTTTCACATTATGGAGATAATAAAAATATATTTTTTAAATTATTTCTAAAAAGTCAATATCATTCAGCAAAAAAGATGTTTGCGTGAAACAGAAAACAAATGGCTAAAGGGTCCAGCTGGAGATGCATCTGCAGCATTTGCAACCTCCAGCCAGCCAGGGATTCGGACTCGTCTCGGTCATTACACGGAACGCCACCTGGCGCGCTGGCGTGCGAACGTGGATGGCAGGGCGTCGATATTCATTTGTCCGCGCCGTGGCCTTGGGCATGAAAAGTCGAAGGGCGCGCGCCGAGGGCCTCATCGGGCGACACTGCTCGCAGCCGTCGGCGGGGGCGCTGGTGAGGTAGGCGGGGTGGTGGGGGGTGGCGGCGTCTGGGCGATGGCAGTGAGAGATGCGAGGCGGGCGGGGCGCCCGGAAATAGGGACGCGACATAGATGTCGATGTTTTGAAAACATCGATATTTCTATAAAAAGCATTCATGTCATCAATATATTAAATCCAATGTTTTGTTCTTATCGATATTTTGTGCTGGATGTTTTTTGTTTTTATGTTTTATTTATACCTGAAGAATTTTTATAATCACACTTTTGTAAAAGTTCAAGTATGAAATAATACCTGACTTTGTACTCGTACTACTTTCATTTAGCACAGTATCCCTCACCCGAGATGATCCTGACGATTTTGTATTTCCTTCGTCTTTCATCGTATATTTTACATGGAGGGGCGTTTTATAAGTTTATTTTTAGTTAATTTTCATTATAAATTAATATACACGACCACTAGCAAATTAAATTTTGTTTTGCAAGAAATTGAATATTTGAGATAACTAAGTGATCTTTAAAACATGGATGTTTGAGAACATTGGTTGTGGTTGATGTTTTAGTAACGTCGATGTTTTAATTTTGAACATCGATGTTTGGCAACATCTATGTTTTGTTGTCGATGTCGAATGACTCGGAATCGCTGTTACACTACCGCTGGAGAGGAAGTTGGTTGGGGTCGTCTGGTCGCGAGGTGTAGAATGTGGACAGAGGTGGCAGGGGAAAGGAATGGTGTCGAGGGAGTTTGCGAGGGGGCGTTGTTTGACAGAAGGGGGGGCGAAAGGGCCATGGACGAGGTTGGGAGGGGAACAATTAAAAGCGCAGTCGAGAGCATTCCTGGATGAAGGACGGACGTTGAGCGGAAGAAAGCAATAGGGAAGGCAAGCACACGGTATGAGCTACGGAGAAATGAAGGGGAATATTAAAGGAGACTGCTTTGGAAATAGTAATGTGATCAGAGAGGGTAGGAGAGGAGTGCATAAAAAGGAGGATTGTAGAGGGAAACTGAAGAGGATGACATAAATCAAAATTGAGGAGTCCAGGACGGGAATTTAAGATGAGGGGATTCGCATCAGCACGAGACAGCATTAGGCTCGATTGAAAAACCAATGAAGTGCCGGCTTAGATGGCTCAATTGATGTCACTCAGTGCCTCCGATCGGGAGGTTCTAAGGTTCGACTCACGATGGTTACAGGATTTTCGACACCATTTGGAATCTAAGCTCGAGAGTCAGGTCGAGTTTAGTCGCTGTCTAGAGGATAATTCTGCTCTGATCGGTAGTTTTCCGTGATTTCTCTGTTTAACCCTAGGCAAATGCCAGATCTGCAGCCCCAACACACTGACCGCGAGCTCTCACGCCTTAATAACACGCACTTACACGCACTACGTTGCTACAGATGTCGGAAGCGTAGAACTTCACCCGACTGGGGCAAGGCCCCGCTGAAGGGCGATACCTAAATGGGGAAAACGTCGCAAGCTGACGAGTAGAGTAGTCATAGTAGAGTAGAGGAAGAAGTATGTAGCATAAGTGAGCGTATGTACCTTGTAAATAAAATGAGATCAAAGATCGACCACTCGGCACTCTTTCGGCGAGCGACAGTGTGAACAGAAGGATTGTAAAAGCAACTACCGGAGTCTCGCGGTGAGGAGGCGGCGAGGAAGGGAGTGCTATACGCGATCCTCCATCTCCCTAGTTCTCGCCCATCCCGGCACAGCACGGTCCGGAAGACAGTATGAGTTCCACTCGGAACGTCACGGCTCATTTTGCAGTGATGCCCAACTTCTTCCTCTACAATGCGGACTTCCGAGTTTTCGCGTTCTATTTCTATCGATCTGTGCCTAACACGTTCCTTCTTGTTACCCAATTATTTCTATAACTATTAATTATTTCTTCAGTATTTTTAAAAATCTTGCGTTGATCCTCATTGCCATCTTGTCCAAGACGCAGTATTCCTGAGTTTTCTACCATAACGTTGACAGCACTGCACTACCGTGACGTAGACAGGACCGACCACTATCCCGATCCCCGGCTGTGGAGTATCAAGAAAAGGTGAGAACATTTGAACGACCGACAAGGTTTATTAACCGAGTGGTAAGGGGGAATGATCGTGGTGTGAAGCAAACGCAACAGGATCCAGAGGGCACACTGGCCGGCTGTGTTTCGGCGCTAAGAAATACCTTTCTCCGCTAGTGGGTGAAAGTAGCGTAACGAAATTCGCGTGGTCAGACGGAAGAGCGAGCCTGATGGCCCAAGTCTCGCCACGTAAAATAAGGATTCAATTCAAAGAGTTTTAGAGGCCGGTTGCTCTGTTTGGTAGTTCTCACCTCGCTAGCAGTCGGTACATTGGCACCGGCATCCAACGGGCTACGATCTTCGCCAGCTTCCGCGATTAGAAAACATACACTACAGTTACGAGACTTTAGCAGTTATGGAGCCCGGAATCACTAATAGATCAACCAATCAAAACATCAATCCACTCCTTATTCACCACTTTCTATTCCCCTTGCCTCCGTGCCAACCTCTCCTCCACCCATTCTGTTTCTTGCCATCCTTTTTTCCTTTCCCCTCTTTTCCCTTCATACATTCCTCTTCGTTACCATTTCACTTTCCTTTCTCATTCCCGCCTATCCTTTCTTCTTCATTATTCCTCTTTTCCTTTCTTCCCTTTCATCTTCTTTCACCTACCCCATCCCCTTCCTCTCTATCTTTTCTCCTTCACTTTCCATCTCCTTCCCCCTGCCCCTTCCTTCTTACCCTTTTTATCTCCTTCTCCTACCTTAATTTCTTCTTTACCCGCCTCTTCTCCTACTCCAACCTTTCCCCCTCATTTCCGTTCTGTCTCTCCCGAGCTCTCCCTTCCTCTCTCCCCTCGCAACTACTACTTCCCTTTTGTTCGCGCGCTTCCATCGAGCCCTGAAATCGCGCGCTCTGGTGGAGAGGAAAATCAATTATCTGGAACAAAAGGGAAAATGTGCAGCAATTGCGTCTGTGCGTCCCAGAATTCCTCTCCCTCCTCCCTC